TGAGTTCCTTCCTAGATGATACCAACACTATTCCCGTGAGGTAGGGATTATTGTCCTTGTTCAATAAGGAAGCAGGGAAAGGGGTGACATGACCTGTCTAAGATCCCACAGGTAAAAGGGGCAGAGGTGAAATGAGATACCAACATTCCTGACTCAAAACTCAGTGCTCTTGCTTCTTTAACCTTATGTGGAAAGCCAGGGATCTTGAACTTGGGGGGAAGAAGTATTTTGGTGTGTTTGTGATGCTGCAGGAGTGGTAGGGGAGAGGGGATCTTCCATTACCCCACTGCAATGCAGTGAATTGCTTAATATGGCCTGCTAGCCATAGTTCTCCTTTTTGTGGCATATTATTCATCCTAGCCTCTATGCCTGTTTAGGGTGGAATGTATCTTGAGTCTTCCCTTGCTGGAGAGTGTGACTCAAGTCAACACCCTTAGTTTCCTTGAGGAAACTATGTGAATGTTCAGGCCAAGTTCACTCTCTCTTGCTCCTAATCTGTCATCTTCTCACCTTTGGATTTGGGATGGCAACCAGTTGACTGACCTGCTGATTTGGGTTCACCAGTCCCTGCAACCACACGAGTGAGGAGAATTCTCCAGATCTACACCTGACCCACTGATTTGGGACTTGCCAGATTCCCAGCCTCCACCATTGTGTGAACCATTTCCTTGGCAGTTTGTGAGTTCTGTGAGATGGAACAGCAAAGTATGGACTTCTAAGATGGGAGAGAGAGTACTGAGGGGAGAAGGAGGAGATGATGTAGGGGATGACAGAGTGATACAGCAGTTTGGAAAAGCTGGGCATTTAGGACGTCTTTAACTTCTGCCTCATAGGGACCAGCCTCATGTTGATCTTTCTAAGAGAAATTATTCAAGCACCCACACTCTATTTCAGAATGACCAAAGTAGTCACCCAGAACTCTGTGGCCAAGAAGTGGCCAGCTTCACTTCTCTGGGAATACCCAGTACACCTGCAGTGGGTAAAGAAGGGGAATGGGCATCCCCAGGACCCTGAACACCCTTTGAGAACAAGTAAGAAACTCAGAGAACTGGGCTAACAATGTGATGTTATAAATGAACATATCTCAAAGCTCTGGGATTCTTGGTTCTCAGATGATATTTTTGAATAAAAACACAAACAGCTTCACATTGTTTTGGATCTATTATGTTCTGGTCACTGAACATCTGTCCTCCTCCTTCTCTGTGCCAAAGGCAGGTGCCAGGAATCCCCAGAGGTCCACCTCAATCCATGGTCACTCTTCACCCTGCTCAGCTCATACTTTGAATCCCCACCTGTAAATGAAAACCAGAGCATTGGCATTGCATGTTTGTCTTGTCACAGGCTAGTGCCCTCACAGGATCAGAAGAATGCCCTGAGCCTCACACTCAAGGACTAGGTTTCCTGCCACTGCTGGCTGGCTTTCCTAGTGGCAGAAGGTCAGTGATTTGCAGGATCTCTGGGGTCTCCCCACGTGGCACAAACAGTTTGCACACAAGTATTAAACTGAAGGTCGACAGTTCAAACCACCCAGCAGCACTGCAGAAGAAAGAACTGGTGATCTTCTGTAAATGAAAATCATTTTCAACCATCTGGAGGAGGAAAGAAAGTTTGAACTTAATGCTAACAGATAACATGTATTGAGTATATACTATGATCCAGTTCTATGCTTAGCATTTCCTATATATTAACCAAACTCATTGCCATCGAGTCATTTCTGACTCATAGCGACCCTCATTGGGTTTCTGAGGCTGTAAATCTTTACAGAAGTAGATCACTCTGTCTTCCTTCCAAGGAGCAGTTAAGTGCCTTATCCACTATATATTAGGAACTATGTAATTCTTAAAGTAACCCAATTGTTGAATTATTTCTATGATATAAATGAGGAATTGGAGCTTTAGGATTTATATCAAGTCTCACAGTGAAAAGTGGAGTTGGACTTGTAGCTCAAGTCTATCTGATTCTGCCTGCTTTCTTTTCTATGTAAGACACTGAGCAATCAACAATGTGGTGAGAAACGGAACCAAATTCCCTTTGTATTGTCCAAGGCAAGACAAAGACTAGGGAAGCCACACCTGAAAATATCAACCAGTCCTTAGGAAGGAAATGTGGAGCAGTTACCTAAAGCCTGAAATAGGCAACATCTTCTGTCCAGCAATTCTTTCTCCGTTAACTCTCTCTATAAAATAATAATATATGTGCCAAAGTATTAGCTATAAGAATGTTCATCAGGACATTCTTATAACAAGAAGAAATTAGACATATCTAGTTCTTCATGATATGGGAGATGATCATAATATTTATCACTGAATTGTTGGCATGGCTTGTATGATATGATTTTTTAAATCTTCTCCTGTTTATAAACTTTATTCAATAAATGATTAAAATATGCAGTTCCAGGCAATTAGCCACAACCCCATAAAGTTTTTAGAATTGTGGACTCTTCCCTCCCTCAAGAGGTCCATTTAGGGAAGAGGATGTGGTCAGCATCTTCTCTCTCTCTGACTCCTGGTATTTCTTTTCCACCTCCCCTACTTGGCCAAAAGAAGTTTCTGTCTCCTAGGGAGTACCCCCATAAGAAGGATAGGAAAGTTCTTACACAGTAGATACATCACAAGCTACTTTGTGCTTCTGGTCCTGATTCTTCCATAGGAAATTTCATGCTTTCATTGCAGACAGTCCTCTCATCTCTGGGGGTAAACCTTGGATGTCTGGTCATTTACACTTTGGATACTTTCCACACTGAAGGCTTCTTCTCTGCTGCCACAGGCCACTTTATCCAGCTCCCACCCTTCACAGCCTTCAGTCATTAAACAACACTGGTCTACTCCGTCCGTACAGAAAACTGGGAATGGACAGCAACTTAATGAGCAGAACCCATAGAGTCTTTCTCTCACCTTGGAAATTCAAAGCAGCAAAGCTTCTAACCAATAAAATGACCTTCAAAATCTTCTGTCCACTTCCTCCAGCTCTGGGCTCTACATGAAGGAAAGTTTTAGGAGTCCCCTTTAGTTCTTGGCCATCACTTTTTTTCAAGTCTTGCTGAATGATCTATCTCATTACTCACTCTGGTATCATTTATCTTAGGACTTTGATTAAAATGTCCATTATATCATCCTCTTGCCTGTGTTTTTAAGTAAAAAATCAGGATATTTAATGCATTCTATAATTTCAATTAAAAAAATAATGATACAACATAAAAGTATTCACTTATACTGGATATTTCTGAGTGGCAGAATTAATAATGCTTAACCATATATATGTGTGTGTGTGTGTGTGTGTATGTTATTGTTGTTATGTACCGTCGAATCGGACCCGACTCATAGTGACCCCTCCTTGGGTTTCCCAGGCAATATCACTACAGAAGTAGATTGCTCAACCTTCCTTACAAGGAGTGGCTGGTGGATTTGAATTGCCAACCTTATGGTTAGCAGTCGAGTGCCTTAGGCACTATGCTACCAGAGCTCCCTCTGTGTATGTGTGTGTGTGTGTGTGTATAATATTTTCTTCTTTATACCTTTTAAGTGTTTTACAAATTGTATAAACTGAATATATATTCTTTTTTAATCAGGAAGAAACAATAC